ACCCACAGTCCCACCCCACCCTCGTCCTGCTCCTCCCCTCCGGCGTGCGTTTCCTTCCCCGGCTTGCCTGACCGAGATCTCTAAATTCCCTTCAAACCCTAGCCCTCTCCACCTCCTCGCGCCGCCTTCCAACCCTCTTCCCTCCTCGCGCTTCCCCTTCCCCATCTCGCCGTCGTTTCTTGGGTCCGGGACACGCTCTTCTATCTGCCCGCGTATGGCCTCCGACGGCGCCGCCAGAGGCCGCCCTCCCAAGCTCCCCGCTTCGGAAGGCCTGGACCCATCCAACGTCCTCACCTACAAGAGACGCCGCCGCGGCACCGGCGCCAACGCCGGCCACAGCGCCGTCACGCCGGGCCCCGACCCCGTCAAGGTACGCATTCCCCTCCAAACCCTAGCTCCCCCCCTCCCCCAACTCGTCGTTCTTTGCTACGACGACGACATGGGTTTTACTAGAGCGAGCGTCTCTCCAGCCTCGCGGTGCCTTCAGTTACTCGTAGATTTCGTTCATATGCCGCCAGATTTCGGTTCCGTCTTGCGAGATTCCCTTTCTATGTCGCAGCGTTTGCTCTCGAGCCTAGGGTTTCCTGTAATGCTGGCACTCGTCTTCTTGGGCGTGCATACGTCTTCTTGGGTGCCGAATTATTGGTCAGTCATGGCTTTTGCTTCTCGAGATTTGTCATTTATTCCCCTGCTTTCTCCCCTGTGCAGAATAAGATGAGCGCGGTGGTGCACGCCACCAGTTCCCATCAAGGTGGGCGCCAAAACCTGGACAGGTGCTGGAGAAGCTGGAGGGACACGCTGGAGGGCGTCCTGCAATCCACTGCTGGGAACCAGGGCTCCGGAGGGATTCAGAGCTGCATCCGAGATGCGCTCAGATATAATGGTTGCCAGCCCACAGAACATGTTAGTAATCCATCCAGTCCTTCAGATTCAACATAACCTGTGCATGCCGACCTCGCGTAATGGTACCTTTTCACTTCACCCTAACAAAAGCTTCTATTTTGTTTTCTGGATCTACCAGGGGAACTTAGCTGACGGCCAAGGAGCAGGAAGAGAGGACCCTGCTGGAGCTGTACATTCTGAAGAGAATAGTGGTGCCTTGGTTCAGTTAGAAGATGGAACAGCTGCATCTTTGGAAGCCAACAAGGCGATGTGCCATAAAGCTCTCTTTGACATTCTAATCTCCGAGAAGTTTGCCATGCTGTGTGATCTGCTAGCTGCAACATTCCATGTCAATAAGCCTGATGACCTGATTGGTTTGCAAATAATTGATGCCAAGATGAGAAATGGGGATTATGCACAGAACCCTGCGCTGCTTGACCATGATATCAAACAGGTACCTATTTGTTTGTTTGCCTCATTCCTTTTTTTTTCCTGTGCTGTTTTCTCTGATATAGAAAAAGATGTAGCTGTGGTTCTACTTGAGAGCCTATGGTAGGTTATTTCAATGCTCAAAATTTGAAACCTGTCCCTTTTGCTTGTCTGTTTGACTACATAGATTCAAAAGGTCATATAGTTAGGAATGATTCTTCCTGTGTTCGCTGCCTGTTTCGGTCCCTTTTTCCAGCGCATGGGTTGGCCCTTGCAAATTCTTCTAATAACCATCCAAATTCCAAACATCAGAATCATTTTCCAATGCACTGTAGCTGGAATAGGTATGCTCAACCAAAAGTGCGTATATGTAACCTCATAGCCATATTTCTCTACTGGCTTGAGGCCAATCAGAGATCTATTGCCTCCTTTTCCAATAAAGGACATTTAATAGCTGTTTCTCGTGGGAAGGGATCCGCTGTCTTGGTCTTCATGAATCTGTGCTCTGTTCCTCGCCGCCCGTGTCATCCGCTGCCCTTGACCTCACCTTGCCAACTCCCTTGGACTTCTCTCTTGAAGTGAATCACAAGGTGATGGTAGTCATGAATGCACGTAAATCAGACATGGGTTGCGTCACGTTGCCATACACAACTACTCAATAAGTATGTTTCAATCCCTGTATTGTGAGGAAGCATTTATTTACCTTGTTCACTGCTGTTCTTAAATGAAAGAAGGCAAAATCAGGAAAGTTATCTTAATATTTTTGGGGCCAAGGAATAAGCAATTAGATTTGGTTTATGTGTTAGTACCTCCTATATATCTCAATGGCCAAAGAGGTCCTCTGATATTTGTTTTTCCATTTTTCTCTCATCTGTAAATTCTTTTGTTTGCTGTTATTCATGTACCAAACACCCCCAGAAGTTACCATAAACATGCAGTTGAAAACATACCATCAATGCTGTTTGTTTCTTCTAATATGTATGTATATTTGTTTATTATCTAGATATGGAAGAAGATTGAACATGTTGGCCAACAAATGGCTGGTCTGGCAAGCAGTCTCTCACTGATTTCACAAGCTTCTCATCAAAAGCAGGTAACATGAGTTTTCTGTTGGTGCTTCGTTGGCATAATTTATGGTGTTAGCCATAGATTTTGATTCAGGGCGTTGTATTGTTGAAATCATTCCATTTATGTTGGTCATTGCTTATAGAAATATTCTTTGTAGGCTTCTGGCGTTTCAGAAATTGATGTGGCTGAACACAGGATAGAGGTGAGTGGTGTGCTATGAACATGTCTGCTGACCATTGTTTTGTTGTTAGGATTTGTTAAACCCCATTCATTAATAACTGCACTCTTTATTAGGAAACAAATTTGGGTGGTGGCGCCCACAAAGCCCTAAGGGAGTTGACTCCCCCTTGCGATTCTGGCCATTCTACGATACCCAAACAAACTGGGACATCTGGATCGGATGGAATTTGCAAGGATTGTGGCGGAAAGGCAGACAGCGAAGGAAGAATTATCTGTGATAGATGTGAAGCTGCATACCATGTTTCATGTCTCAAGCTTGCCATTGATGAAGAGGCCCCAGCAAAATGGTACTGTCCCAGCTGTTTTGGATTAGACGGACCTTCAAAGAATAACAACAATGGCAGATCACATGAAGGCTGCGATGTATGCGAGTGGCTCGTGGTGGAGAAGCCAGAAGAACCCGCTGAAGATGTTATCCAACCTGAATTGGCCATCAAGACGCAGGAGAGCTCAGTGTCAAGCATGGATGAAGACAGTGAACCGGACCTCTCAACAACTGCTCTAGCAAACTTGTGCAAGCATTGTGGCACGTGTGAAGATGAGAACAAGAAGTTCTTGGTATGCGGCCATCCTTACTGTGCTTACAAGTTCTATCATGTCCTGTGCATGAAAGAAAGCCAGATTGCAAGTGAGAAGCAGAAGAATCTAGCATGCTGGTACTGCCCGTCTTGCCTGTGCAGACGCTGCTTCAGAAACAAGGATGATGAAGAAATAGTATTGTGTGATGGCTGTGATGATGCTTATCACATTTACTGCACTACTCCGCCGCTCGAATGTGTCCCGAGAGGTAACTGGTACTGCATGTTGTGTAATGCGCGGAGGTCTGCACGTGGGATGGAGAGGTATGAGAAGTCGATCCTGCAGAAGGCCAAGCGTGTTCCTGATGCCAAAAGGCCAAAGGTGCATGCAGCTGCTGCTCCAGAAAAATAAGTAGCAGCGGTGTGGATGAGGTTTCACAGGCTTACTAGGGTAAAAGAAAGGAAATGATTCTTTGGTCCCTCTGAAGGGGGTATACATTACTCTTGACAGCTTGAATAATCGGAGGATGGGTTGTGTACACATGGGGAAATGTCCTGTTGGCTGGTGAAGACGAGATGGTGGCATCCGTGTGGATGCGCACTTTGGTCCCTGCGGATGAACTGCTGATGTTGATTTCCTGTCCTGTTATTTTCTTCCTGGAATTCTTGTGACTATTTCGAGTAAGTTGTTGCGCTGTTATGTTGTGTCTGCCCTTTACCTGATGGTAAGTGGTAACATTGACACCCACCCATGTTGACATCGCTTATCGATGATATGTACATGTCTGTTACTTGTTTTGTTTTTGTTAAACAATGTGTGCTGCTCTTACATACTTTTGCATAGCCTGTCATCGATGTCTGTGAAAGTTTGTTACTGCTATTATATATATGTCTCTGATTGAACCCTTCAGGCAGAGAACTTGTGTGATAGCTGAACAATTATACATCTTCATTTTTTTTTGAAGTGTCATATTCATGTCGTGGATTTGTTTCAATCGTGATGGCTTTGGTAGTATGGTGACCCACAGTCTGTTCGTTTGGTCGTAAACGATCGTGGATTATAAGACAGAACAGTATTTTTCTCTTACACCAAACCAGCCAGCAGTAATAATCCACGATCCTTTCAGCCGAAACGAACAGGCTGCCAGAAGGCCTGAGAACCCTGGTGTCAATGCATCGTACCCTGCTTGTGCCTAAATTAGTTAGACAAAAGGAGATGGCGGGAGTTGTTTCCTTCGTAGTCATAGTACCGTTGATGGTACCGAGACTTTGCATTGCTTGGTTGCCAGAATTCAGAGAATTTGGGTGTGTGCGCGCGCATGTGGGAAGGCCAACCTATATAACAATATATATAATAATGTAATATAGTCGTTAGTCCAAACGAAGCGCCTGCCCAAGTTCCTTACATCGAATGGGACAAAACTAAGTTCTCATTTGGCAAGGCTTATTATGTAGCGGCTCCGGCTTTGAATCTAAGAAATGGCTCTGCGTGAAAAAGCTTTGAGGAGCCTGAGCCATTTTCACACCATGTTCGTTTGATCGTATCAGCCATGCTTATCAGTCATGATATAGTGTTTTTCTCTCACAATGAAACAGTATTAGCCGGCTTATAAGCCACGTAAACGATCAAGTGAATAGGGGTGGAGCTGTGAACTTTTTTCGGCTTCTCTTTACAAATTTGACATAAATTTTTGCAAAACTGTGATTAGAGTCTTCTTGTCACACATTTTCCAAAACAGTTACGGAGACAAATGAGATGAGCTGCTGCAGCTTTCACTTTCGTCCAAAAAAAACCCCTCTAAAAAGAGAGAAGGCAAGGGAGCAGGATTGCAGGAGTAGCAAAGGGCAAAAGGCAAAGTGAAATTTTCGTATTTTGGTCTCTTTTGAAAACAATTTTTAGAAAAATACCAACGTCAAAACATTTTCTGAAAATAGACCATTTTTAGGCGTCTTAGCACATGACGCCGAGATATGAGGCTCGGCGTCGTGTCACTAGACGCCGAGGTATTGCCACGTCACGGACGACCGGGGTCGTCGTCGACACGTTGGCGCGTGGGTCCGTGACGTCGGCGTCGTGTCAGCCGACGCCAAGTACCCAACCTCGGCGCGGTCTGACTGCGCGCCGAGATCTGGCCCCATCCGGAGCGCGGCCCAGGCGTCCCAACAAAGCACGGTGGCCCAGCAGCTCGGCGTTGGGTCACTTAACGCCGAGCCTCCAGACCTCGGCGTGACCCGACTCAACGCCGAGGTCTGGACCCTTTAGGCCGCGCCGAGGCCCCTTCTTCTTCCTCCCTTCATTCTGAAACCGTCGGCCTCCCTCTCTTTCTCTTCTCCCCCGCGCCGCCAGCAAACCCTAACCTCCAAAATCGACCCCCGGTGCCACGATCTCGGCTCCCGAAGCTTCCTCGAGGTAATGGTCCCTCCCCTCCTCCATTCTATCCGCGTAGATGTGCTTACATTGTCCCTAATCATGTGGAATCATGGTTGTTTGGTGATTTGGTATATTTGTGTTTGCATTTGCAAAATGTATGGCTTAGGATGATTGAGTGCATTGTTGTTTAACTGTTTTATGTGATGAACATGTTAGGTTAGTTTGGTTTCTAGTTATTTTGGTCATTAGGGTTATTTGTTTATTGTAGGTGCCATTAGGGTTAGTTATTTGTTGGTCATTAGGGTTACTATGTATTTTATTTATTTGTTGGTCATTACATTTCAATTTGTTATGACTAGAAATGATTATGTTGTTGGGGTTGAAAAACGATGAAATGATATATTTTAGTTTCTACTTATTGGATTGAAATATATTCATATGTTACACTACTTGTTGTGTGATGGCTGAGATGGATAAATTAGTGAGGTTGCATCATGGAGGCCGTATTGTTAGGACAAGAGATGATAGTTTGGAATTTCTGGACATGTGTGAGGAGTTGTTGATTTTTTCTGAAACACCATCTTTGACCCAGTTAGTGGAGCGAGTGAAGGTTAAGTTAGGCTGGAATGAAGGAGACGTGCATGTTCAATTTGAAGGTGTCATAGATGTTGGGTCATCGAAGGATCCTCGGATCAAGCGGTTGCTCAAAATTACAAGCGAGACTGAATGGAATGATTACAAGGCAGTTGTATTGGCCTCAGAAGTGCGATCTTTGGATTTAGTAGTAAGTAAGGAGTCCGGCTTAGGAAATGATAACTTCGAAGCATGGCCATCTTCCCCCGCTCACATAGGTTATGGTCCTTTGCCTGAAGAAGAAATACTTGTCACACAACTAGGCTACGGTGGAGATGAGGAAGAGAATCCGGTTGCCGATGATGAGGGCAATCATGATAGTGATGAAGAGGATGATGATTATGTAATTGTTGATGCAGAAGAAGGTTTGGACGACGCTAGCGGAGACTTTTCTATTGAGGATGAGCTTAGCGACGAAGATGATCTTAGTAGTGAAGAAGACTTTGGTGATGCTAGGGCTACGAACCGTTTTGACATGGAGATAGCTGGAGATGATGAGTCCTTCGTAGAGGAGATAGCCGAAGACTCTGATGACGATCGCCTGCTTGGTCGTCCTCAATTTAAGGGAAATAGAGATATTGTCTAGGGTCTTGCCTTGGAGAGATCCACTAGTTGGTGATTTCGAGGACCTTAGCCATGGTCATAGGGCAAGAGGCGATGGTGGGCCAAGTGATACAACTGCGTGCGATGTTAGCGGTTGCCTCATCATACTGGAAGGGCATATTGTTTGCTACCATGGATGAGTTGAAATCATGGTTGCAAGAGTACTCCATTGTACATAACCGACCTTTTAGGGTCATCAATTCATTCAAGGAGAAGAGGTACACTGTTGCTTGTGAAGAACAACAGTGTGGTTGGAGAGTATGTGCTAGGAAGACGAAGGCAGACAAATGGAAGATTACCTCAGTGAAGCAACCACATGTTTGTGCCACTGCTGAGGCAGAAGAGAACCATCTGCAGCTCAATTCTAGGTTCATTGCAAGGCAATTATGCCCCGTGGTGAAGCATATGCCAACCATTACGGTGTCTGCGTTGGTTGAGATCATCTTCCAACGGTACAATTACTATGTCAAGTATGGGAAAGCATGGAGGGCAAAGCAGCGTGCACTGGAAATAATATTTGGAAATTGGGAAGAAGCTTATGAGCGCCTCCCTGTAATGTTGAACGCAATGAGGGTTGTAAATCCTGGGATGCACTTCGAGTATTTACCTAAGGAGGGTGAAACAAGGAATGGTAGCCAGGTATTTGGAAGGGCGTTTTGGGCGTTCGGGCAGAGCATCGAAGCATTCAAGCATTGCAGGCCCGTCGTCTCAATTGATGGGACCTTTCTTACAGGGAAATTTGAAGGCACAATGCTTATTTGTATTGGGACAGATGCAGAGGACCAGCTTGTGCCATTGGCCTTTGCGATTGTTCGGAAGGAGGACACGGATAGTTGGTGTTGGTTTCTCAGGCTAGTAAGACAAGTGGTAATTGGTCTGGGACGTGATGTTTGTGTGATATCCGATAGGCATGCTTGGCATTCTCAATGTCGAGAACAACAAGAGATTCCTCGGTTACGACCAAATATTATCACCGGTGGTGCACCGACACCTTGCTCGTAATCTTATAAGGCGTGATCACACAAAGGACAACTTCAAATTATTTGAGGAGGTTTGCAGCAAAGCAAGAGAGGTTCAATTATTCAAAGACAAGTTAGATGCCTCTCGGGTTAGCCACAAATGTTGATGGCGGGATATTCTTGAGCGAGTTGATGGCGTCAAGGATAAGTGGTCACTTGCATATGACACGGGTGGTTGGAGATGGGGCTTCATGACTAGTAACATGGCGTAGATGTTCAACAACCTTCTAAGAGGTTGTCGTGGTCCACTTTGTGATCAAGCTATTGCCTCATTCACCTTCTACAAGTTGAATTCTTGGTTCGTTTCGAGGAAGAAGCATGCGAGGTCTCTATGGACAGCAGGCAAAGCTTGGCCACTTTTAGCATCTCATGAACTAGCTTTCTCAAAGAAAAAGTCTAAATGATGTAAGGGTTCATGTTTCGATCCGATCAACCATGGATATGAGATTCTAGAGGGTGGCGGAACTAACATTGGTGGTGAAGACCGGGGTGCTCGAAAACATAAAGTAGTGATCAATGAGAACAAGTGTACGTGTGGAAAACCGATCATATACCATAGGCCTTGCTCCCACATGATTACAACTGTCATGCGCCTTAGACGTGTTGACCTCGAGGTCCCTCCCCAGTATGGCCATGCGAGTTCTCTTTGAGGAACCTAATGAGCACTGGAATCCTCGGTTCGAGCCATTTCTTGACGAGAGTCAATGGCCTACTTATGATGGCCCCAAGTATGTGGCGATCTTGGTTTACTCTGAAGAGTAGAGGACCTAGGCGGCGGAAGCGGTTCAGATGGACATGGACCGAGCCACGAAAGGTAGATCAACCACGAGTAAGGTTGGGAGACATTTTGTAGAGGACACCCAAAAGAGCTGCTGCTCTGCTGCCATAAGCCGGGCCACAATAAGAGAAAATGTCCTGAACTACTTAGACAACAGTATCCATCAAGCTAGCTACTAGAATTGCTTTGTGTAATGGTACATTGGTTTACTTTTGTTTTTTTTTTTTTATGTTACTTACGCACCACATACACATGCTTTAACTTATACTAATGGTTTGGCATTGCTTATGTTGCAGGATGGATCGGTTCCCCTTCTTGATCCAAGGTTCGATGAGCACCACCGGGCTCGGAGGATTGAGAACGGAGAGGTATATTCAACAATTCGTATGAAAACATTGCATTGTTCATGTTTTGCTCTATAGTCCATGCTCTTTATAAAGTGACATGAACTAATACTTTTCATGCTTGTCTTTTTTTTTGCAGTTTTTGAATGTGCTTTGAGGCCAATGACACATGAGGCCTCTCGACCATGGTCTCTGACGAGAGGTACACGCCCCTCTGAAGTCGGGCGAACCTTGTTACCGTTGCTCGTGTTTGTCGTCGAGGCACGCCACCTTTCAACCCAGCGGCGCTGACGGTATTGATAGATCAGTGGCATCTGGAGACACACAACTTTCACCTACCATGTGGGGAGATGACGGTCACTCTCGAGGACGCTGCCATGATCCTTGAGTCAAAATCCGAGGATTCCCAAAGGATGTGGAGACACGGAGTCTCAAGGATGGCAGCAGCCGGGTTGAGCACTTCTTGGGACGGCCCTCTAGCGGCGCTTGAGGCCGCAAGAAACGGCGCAGCAGATGGGGTGTCCCCGAGGTGGCTTCGCCAAGATTTGGAGTGCCCACCCAACGTGACGCCGAGACCGTGACATACTATCGCCGGGCCTACATCCTCCACATGTTAGGTACGGTTCTCTTCCCCGACGGCAAGATCGGAGACACGGCATCCTGGATGTACATCCCGTGCCTTTTGAACTGGGAGGATACCGCAATAGGAGTTGGGGCTCGGCTATACTTGCCTTCCTCAGACCGTCGACTTTATGAGGCTTGCCGCCGTCCCGGGCCTTGCGCACGCGCTACAATGTCGTCGGGTGCATCACACTTTGCTGCGTAAATAAAGCAAAGTTGTACAAGTTTCCACTACAATTCAATGTTTTTCTTAACAAAAGTGATTAACATTCATGTTTCCACTCTTTTTTGCAGATTTGGATGTGGGAGAGGCTTCCAGTTGGGAGACCGCATCGCCTTGATCCCCACAACCTTGGTTTCCTCAAGGAGACGCAGCTAGAATGCCCCTACCGTGGCACACCTCTACGAAGCGAGCCCACGGAACATACCACGTGTCACGCCACGCGTACATCAGCTTCACCAACGAGCTGGACACCCTTTTGCCACAACATGTAAGTTTCCCACCCTTTTGCCCTAATCGAGGATATGTGCACAAATTGAGTGTCGACTAGTTGATGACGACGTTGTGTATGAGTTCAATGGAGCCCATATCGGCGGAGGCAAGTAACGGATCTCAACTTGAGTGCCTTGTGCATGGCGTATTTGAGGACGTCTCCGGACGATGAGGACCCCCTTATTTGTTTCTATGCAAAGTGGAGTACCATCTCCCCTCACCGTAGTATACACGGCAGTTTGGTAGGTCATGCAGCCTTCTCCGCCTGGATGATTTCTCCACCGGTTGGCAGCTCCACAAGTACGTAACATACAATATTTTGTTCATTTCACATGAAAGAATCATTGCGTAGGCCTTCATATTGCCGATTTGTTGTAAAATTTGCAGGTTCAACAGACAAAAAAATAAGAAGATCACCAACTGGCAGCTGGAGCATCAGCGCTACATTGATGAGTGGATGTTGATGGAGCAGAACAACATGGGCATCCACGCCGTCCATCGTGACAAGGCATTCCATGATTACCTTGTTTGGTTTGGTCAACGAACAAGGCTTCAATTGAGGCCCGCTTGGACGGAGCAAGACATTGCTGACATTGCGAGCGAGGATGAGGGCAACAACCCATATGACCAAGCTACCCGAGAAGGCAGGCAAGTTGAGATCGCCCCTGCATTAGCCAGAGCTGTAAGTGATACAACTATTTCAATCTCTGAGGTCTTTACTGTGATGGAGACTTAAATTATTGTTTTTGTTGCATAGAGCATGGAGATAATGAGGACAAAGGCCGACCAAGGAAGGGCATTGATGATTCCCTGTATGGCGATCCCCGATGAGGCCTCCATGTTACGACAAAAGACATTCAGTAGTCTCTCTCTCATTCAGCTTGATGTTACATCTTTATATAGTTTTATGACCAACCCCACTTACTAATAGTGCTTTCAAAATGCAGCGTGCCATGCATCGCCTACGAAAGGTAGCTGCGCACGCCTTGGATGTAGACGTTCCCGGATGTGGCAGGTCCCCACAACAACCTTGGTGCCGGACCTTCTCTCGCACATGTTGGAGGGACTTCATCTTCACATGGTGCACATGGTGGCGTGGACTTCTTCTTCACATGGTGCAAAGAACTCATCGCAGAGGGGGTGGTCAAGGACATGGTCATTATGATGATGAAGATGATGAAGGACGTGGAGAGTACTATGATCATGAGTATGATGAGATTGGCATGTCCCAGCTTGGAGATGCACCCCAAGGAACTCAAGGCCCTCCGGTTCGGGCGTCCACATAGGGCCGCTTCAGACTAGTGGATGTGTACACCTGTACCTATCCGCTTGGGAGGGGAAAGCGTTACGCTTCGCCGTCCACGTTAAGGTACAAGGAGCGATAAAAGATCCAAAGACTTCATATGCTTTATTTTGTGCATGGACTATGTATGCATTGGACCTTGTACTATGTTTGGACTATGTTTGTTGATTGATGAAGCATATGTATGGACTATGTTGGATGTTGAATGTGTTGGACTATGTTGGATGCTTAATGTGTTGGACCTTATGTATGTACGGGATGTTGAATGAATGTGTGCAGCTTGGTGTGGTCATGTGTTATGTGAATGTGTGGAACGCCGCCATGTTTCATTTTTCCAAATTATTAAGGGCCTCCGTCGCAACTCACAAGGAAGAAGGGGTGTCATCATCCCCATCCTCCATGTTACGATCAACCTCTGTTGGATCCACGGTGACATGGCAAGCACGCAAAGGGGACGAAGCGACTTAGGAGAGTCGGGGAGCTAGCGAGCTCAGGTCCGTTGTTGGCACAAGGTCATCGTCGGCTGATTAGAGTAGTGGGAAATAGTGAAGCAAATCAAAGAAGAGATGGTATATTTTGGTGAACCCAGGGGCTCGGCGTTTAGTCATTTGACGCCGACCCCTGGTACATACTGGAAAACAATTCACCAAAGCGCTGAGGTGCCCAACCTCAGCGTTTAGTCATTTCACGCCGACCCCTGGTACATACTGGAAACCCTTGCATTGAAGCGCCGAGGTTCGGCCCAAACCGGGCCACGGCCGTTGCCAAACCCTAGGTTTGGCGTGGGCCGACTCGACGCCGAGCCTCAGCCCAACTCGCAAACGGCCGAGCCAAACCCTAGGGTCGGTGTGGGACGACTCAACGCCGAGCCTCAGCACACCTCACCCACGGCCGAGCCAAACCCTAGGGTCGGCGTGGGCCGACTCAACGCCGAGCCTCAGCCCAACAAAACCCAAACCATTTGGTATATGTTGCGATCCTATTTGCATGATTCAAATGAAAAATCTTTCTCAACGATTCCTCTTCGACTAACACGAGTTATACTAATAAGAGTAGACAAGTTATATTTATGTTTGTATGTTTGTTCCTGCAGGAAAAACCGATTGTTGGTTCGATTTCAATCCCCTATTTTTAGAGAGACTCAAATCTTTTTTTCAGTTTGGGAATCAACCATAGTACATGAAACTTAGAGGTAGGTAAACTGCAATTTATGAAATAGCGGAGGCACAACGATTACACTCACATCAAAAGTAACAATGGCATGTCGCAAACTAAACCTAGCATGCCTTAGGGGATTGAAAGAAATAAGTGATACAGACATTGCAAAGGGTACACACTCACATAAAAACTAACAAGGGCATGTTGCAAACTAAACCTAGCATGCCTTACGAGATTGAAAAGAACAACTCATACAAGCATTCCATATTCGGATTGACTAACAAATGTTGGTCCTAATAATGCTCCCACATATTGAACTAAGTTGCGCCTTCCCCATAGTATCCTCCAGTTGACGGAGGCGGTGGTGGTGGCGGTGGCGGTGGAGAAGGAGGTCCGTCCTTCTTATGGTACGGGCACTCGCAATACGGATTATTGCATAGTGCCTCCTCTGCATCATTGCTTGTTGTCGTCGTCCGACTTGTCCTCACATTACCACTTCGTGGCCATACTCTAGGTCAAAGATGTGTCCTCAGAGATATGTGATGTAATCGTTGATGGGGATAGATAGGAGGAGGGTCGACCCATCTAGTGAAGCCACAGTTATCTGGACAGCTTGAATCCTGAAAACCCATCTACCAATAAGTACTACTAGAAATTAAATGCAAATCTAAAAAGGAGAGAGTTCAAAGGCAATACAAATCCTCATGGGCATCGGAAGAAACGACGGCCTCCATCATTACGAGTCGTTGTACATCTCGCACAACGCAATCCAAACCGTATGCATTTTGGCCAATCTTCAATGCGCTTCTCAGATGATCTAAGAGGTCTCTCACGGTGAAGTCACTCTTCCTCTCCAAAGGAAATTCCTCTATTGGTTCTTCAAAAGAATCAGGACCTGAAAACCCTCCCACACAATCGGAGGCCCCTTCCTCACCCCCTTTCCTCTCCCTCCGCCGAAACCCTTTCCACTCGAGGAACCTCCGCTCGACATTTGCTAAAACTAAACCAGAAAACAAGTTGTGTGGATGTGGAGCAAGACATGGAGCACTATATATAGAGATGAAGGCAGGTTCACCATGAATGCTACTTGACAAAAAACATGTGTGCGTACTCATTTATTGAATCAAGAAGGCTAGATGCTTCATCCGAAAAGCCTACAACCATGACCGGTCATTTCATCTGAAAATGCTACACCTGTGTTTTGTCACTTCATCTAAATGCAGTACATCACTCTGATATTAATTCATTGCGTATACGGATACAACAGTAAACGAATCTAGGCTTTTCAGTGAGTTTTCAAATAGACTTGTAGCCCTTTCAAAGGATCGCAACAACACAAGTAGTCTTTTCAAAGGATACAAACAGTACCACTACAGCCTTAGGATAGTTAACGAAAATGTGGGGCATAAGACCATCTGAAATAAAAATCATAGTGCATTACAACATAATAAAAAAGTCTAGGGAATAAGTTCATCAAAATAAAAGCGAGTGCATTACAACATAGTAAAAAAGTCCAGGGCTACACGACATCGCTTCGTGAATGAACCAAATACCTCTTGAGTGCAACGAGGCCACTTTCCCTTCCTCTCGGCATCGGGATTCTCCTCCATCGCTGCCTTCGCTCGGCGCACACGCCAAGCTTCTTCTCCTCTCCGCCTCAGACGCAAAGAACACGCCTCATTTCCTCCTCTTCCTTATGCTCCTTTTCTATAGCCTCCATCAAGGCGTCTCTGCTCAAACCTCTCCTTAACCTCCGCATCCCACTCCTTCAGCCTTCTAGACGCCGCTTGTCCGACTCCTTGATCTCAAGGTCAATCCAATCGCTTTGCTCAAAGTCACAGTGGTGGAACGGTCTGCAAGAAAAACAAATTGTTACAAAACAAATAAATAAGCAATACTTAATATCACAAGAAAATTAATTAACACAATAAAAATTCCTCACAAATGATGCACGGCGTTGTTGCTTTGTAGGTTCCCATGCATAATTGGGACACATCTAGTACCTCTGTCTATATGTTTCCTCATCTTCAGAGATGTCTACCTTGCAAGGATCACCACAAAAGCACATTGGTCGAGGAACACCTTCAGGGAGAGGCTTTAGGTCGTAGGAATTTGCCCTCTGACGACCATAGCTACAATTGAAAGAATTTAGTCATATTAACGGAGAACCAAACCTAAACCTAGGGTTTTCTATTTGTTGCACAGATAATGAATAAACATTAGGATTACCTTGGAATACGAGCTTTACCACGCCTTGGCATCCTAACATTACGTAGAAAAAAAAAATCAATCCAAAGTACCTTGCAACGAATGTAAAGGTACTAACACTACATCACCATACCTCCCAAATAAGCTTTTCATTACAAACCCTAAACAAATTTGAATCCCAACAAACACAAAATTTAACTCAATGATTATAAACCATAACATATACAACAACAACAACATCAACAACCATACATTTGGGTCATTCAATCATTTGAACCACCATACTATGCACGAATGACATGAACATGAACCAAACCTATAATGCCAAGTTTAAAAACAAACGAATCTAAATGGATGAATTGAAAGAGGGGAAAGAGGAGTACCTTGACAAAACGCCTTGGTCATAACAAATTGAAATGTAATGACCAACAAATAAATAAAATACATAGTAACCCTAATGACCAACAAATAACTAACCCTAATGACACCTACAATAAACAAATAACCCTAATGACCAAAATAACTAGAAACCAAACTAACCTAACATGTTCATCACATAAAACAGTTAAACAACAATGCACTCAATTATCCTAAGCCATGCATTTTGCAAATGCAAACACAAATATACCAAATCACCAAACAACCATGATTCCACATGATTAGGGACAATGTAAGCACATCTACGCGGATAGAATGGAGGAGGGGAGGGACCATTACCTCGAGGAAGCTTCGGGAGACAAGATCCGGGCACCGGGGGTCGATTTTGGAGGTTAGAGTTTCGTGGGGGCCGTGGGGGATTTGAGAGTCGTGGGGGAATGAAGGAAGGGAGGGAAGAAGAAGAAGGGGGCCTCGGCTTAAAGGGTCCAGACCTCGGCGTTGAGTCGTATCACGCCGAGGTCTGGAGGCTCGGCGTTAAGTGACCCAACGCCGAGTTGCTGGGCCACCGTGCTTTGTTGGGCCGCCTGGGCCGCGCTCCGGATGTGGCCAGATCTCGGCGCACAGTCAGACCGCGCCGAGGTTGGGTACTTGGCGTCGGCTGACACGACGCCGACGTCTCGGACCCACGCGCCAACGTGTCGACGACGACCCCGGTCGTCCGTGACGTGGCAATACCTCGGCGTCGAGTGACACGACGCCGAGCCTCATATCTCGGCGTCATGTGCTAAGACGCCTAAAAATGGTCTATTTTCAAAAAATATTTTGACGTTGGTATTTTTCTAAAAATTGTTTTTAAAAGAGTCCAAAATACGAAAATTTCACAAAGGCAAAGGGGGACAGAAGAGGGCAGAGAAGGCACACGTAACGCGTGGCAACAGGCAACTCTCTGCACTTGCACCACCTTCGACTTTTGTCGCCTCACATCATCAGTTGACGGAGAATTGAGAAATCGAAAATTAATCGCATCATCACGCCAACTGAATTCCCAACCTAAAACCAAACCAAAGGAAGCAACAGAATATCCCCTCGCCTCCTCCCCCGGCCCCTTTCAACTCGTCTTCCGCCTCCCTCCGCTCTCCTCTTGCCTTCTTCTTCCTCCTCATGTCGCCTCCTATCCATCTATACCTTCTATTCTAAGCCACCTCGATCTTGCCTGCTCGGACCCTAGATAGATACAAG